CTATATCGTTAGTTACATTTTTTCAACAAAAGGTTCCTTGTGAGCAGTTTACCCCCTGACAGAGAATTCTCTATATAGGTTAACGATATCGTATATCCCCATATAACGGTACCCCCGATATTCGCTATTTTGATGTTTTTATCCATATTTTCCTATGGTATTGTCTGAAAATCCACACAAGGAGTTCTTTGGGAGCACTTTAACCCCTGAAAGGTAATTGTCCCCCATATATGGGCACCTTCCGATATTATATATTTTAAAGATTTTAACGGATTTTTAACGGATTTTATTTTTTGAAAATTTTCTAATTCGTTCCAAATGGTGGAGGCCCGGCCGAACTTACTGCTTTTTTACTTGTTAGCTTTAGTCGCTTCGTGTCGGCGAATATTATTCCACTACTCATTTATGTATAAGTAAAGCAAGCAATTTCCAAATTTATTTAGTACTCTTCGTACAAATGTAGAACGCATTTCCAAACCACCTTCATATATTAAATGTACTTTCCAACCTTGATTCTCATATCAACCGACCAATACTATGCAACTTGAGAAATTGAGAGAAACAATTTTGGTGCAAATTTATATCCATTATAAATTTATTATCCGAACAAGTGCAACTGCCAATCAAGACGTCGTTACCTAAAATGACGTAAAATATAAAAATTATAAAAATATTTCTATTATTACAATGTAAACCAATGAAATTATTAAAAAACAACAAATTGTTGTTGTAATTGATTTTAATGGACTTGACGCTTGCTGAAATAGAACCAGAGTTATTAAATTCAATAACTTATTTGATTTATGCAATTTGTCATTTAATAGCTACAGACATTTATATAATTACAATTCCATTAGCGCATAGAGTGAATTTTGTATTTAAGGTGTACAAAGGGTACTAAAATATCCTATGAAGGTGTAAAAAGTACCAGAATATGGCTACGGGTATTGAGCTTTTCATAGGAGGTCTTTGATGTTTTATATGTGGCGTATGCAACTACAAAGATAAGAAAGTGCAAAGAGGGGTTAGGAAGTTTCCTAATATATTTTGATATCTGGTGTTGTTTATTTTTTAAGGCATAATAATTCACAGATCTGCTTCATATTAGTGGACCTGGGAGGTACCGTTATATTGGAGCTATGCCGTAGTATATGCCTATATTGAAAATTTTCTCTAAGATGGTTCTCTACCCCTCAAAATAGTCAAATCGATTGGAATGTGTGTTCTCGACACTCGAAATAGGTAAAATCAGGAGATACATTTATATGAGCCATACTCCGAAAGATTGATCAACATTGAACATTTTTGTGTGAACGGGTTTTCTACCCCTTTAGAAACCAAGATGCCAAATAAGGGCCAATTCAATTGACAAATAGCAGAAATCAGGAGATAACTTCATATGGGGGTTATACCAAAAAGTGGGCCTACAGGGTGAGAAACTGAAGAAACTGCAACCAAATTCAGACTGCTGTCATTTCTAAGCCACTCGTCCGACAGCTGTTAAAATTATTACAGTGACAGCTCATTACATATATTGTTTACAAGCGCACAAAAGCATTATGGTGAGAATTTTCCAAAACAAAAGTTATTCGTGATGGATTTTAAGCGTGATAGTGTGATTTCTTTATATTTGGATGGAAAATAACAAGTGGCTATCGTTAGAGAACTCCAGCATTAAAATGTGAATAAATCTTTTGTGTCTCGTACCATCGTTCGTTACCGTGATACCTGTAGCGTAGCCCGTTGTCAAGGAAGTGAACGGAAGAAAACAGCAACATCATCAGAAATGGTTCGAAACGTAAAGAAGCGACTTGATCGAAACCCGCTTCGCAGTGGCCGAAAAATGGCTCGTGAGTTGAACATTTCGCAATATTTCATTCGGCAAATGAGGGTAAATCGGGGTAGGGCCATTGGAATTCCAAAAAGTGCAAGAACTTTCACCGCAACAGAAAGAAAATAGACTCAAAAGAGCTAAAGAGTTGCTTCGCTTGGCCGAAAGTGGTGAACTGGCGAACTTGCTTTTCTCCAATGAGAAAACATTCGGTGTCCAGCAGTTTGTAAACAAACAAAATAATCGTATTTACTTGCCAAAGAGGTCAGCTGAAAATATGCACCTTCGGTAGGCCACCAGAACTCAAGCGCCGGCCTTGGTGATGGTGTGGGCCGCCATAATAGCCGATGGTCGCTCTCCGCTCGTATTAATCGACCATGGCATCAGAATAAATGCCGAATATTATCGCGAAAATATTCTGGAGGGTGTATTAAAGCCTTGGGCACGCAAACATTTTGGCCGCAGACCTTGGACATTCCAACAGGACTCAGCATCATCGCACTCAGCACGCGCCAACCAAGAATGGTTTCAAAATGAGGTTCCTCGCTTCATTTTCAGCGCACAATGGCCAACAAAATCTTTGTATACCAATCCGTTTGACTATTGTGTCTGGAGTATTTTGGAAATCAACGTTGGTACTAAAAATACCAAAGTGTCGATCACCTCAAGCAAGCGCTTCGCCAGGAATGGGCCAAAATACCGCAGATCAACATTCGGGCAGCGTGTGACGGTGAAACTCGCCGTTTGGAGGCCATAATTCGTGCCAAATGTGACCAATTGGAAAAATCTTAACTTATTCTAAAATTTGATGCTATTTCCGACATTTTCATACCCTCCACCATACTATGGAGGGTATATTAACTTTGTCATTCCGTTTGTAACTCCTCGAAATACTCATGTCAGACCCAACAAAGTATATATATTCTTGATCAGCGTAAAATTCTAAGACGATTTAGCGATGTCCGTCTGTCTGTCTGTCCGTCTGTCTGTCTGTCTGTCTGTTTGTCCGTCTGTCTATTGTAATCACGCTATCTTTCGAACGAATTGAGATACAAGGCTAAAATTTTGCACACATGTATATTTTGCCAGTAGGCAGGTTAAGTTCGTAAATGGGCCATGTAGGTCCATGTTTTCATATAGCCCCCATATAACGGTACCTCCCGATATTCGGTATTTTGATGATTTTAGCGACATTATTCACCGGAATGGTTTCAAATTTGGTATTTGAAGTTCGAAATGGATAATACAGCCTAAGACAGAATATTGTCTGTGCAGGTCCACGTCTTCGTATAGCCCCCATATAACTGTACCTAACGATATTTGGTATTTTGATGATTTTAGCGACATTATTAATCGGAATTGTTCAAAATTTGGTATTTGAAGTTCGCAATGGATACTACAGCCTAAGACAAAAAATTGTCTATGCAAGTCCACGTCTTCGTATAGCCCCCAAACGGTACCTCCATATATTCGGTGTTTTGATGATTTTAGCGTCTTTGTTCACCAAAATTTTTTCAAATTACGTATTTAGAGTTCGTAATGGAAACTCCAGTCTGTGACAGAAAATTGTCTATGCAGGTCCAGGTCTTCGTATAGGCCCCATATACCAGTACCTCCCTATATTCGGTATTTTGACGAGTTTAGGTACAATACTCAGCGAAGTTGTTTGAAATGTCGTATTTGAAGGACGTAATGGAAGCTACAGAATATCGCACAGCTCCGATATAACGGTACCTCCCTATATTCTATACTTTGATGATTTTAGCTACATTATTCGCGTTTATTTCAAGTTCCTAATTTGAATTTGGTAATGACTCATGACAAATAATGCCTCTGTGGGTCCACTTCGTATAGACACCAATATAACGGTAATATTCGGTATTTTTAAAATTTTACCAACATTTTTTCAGGATTTTATTTCCAAATTCGTTCCAATGGTGGAGCGTATTCAAAGTTCGGCCAGGCCGAACTTACTGCTTTTTAACTTGTTTTCTTTCATTCAATTAAATTTAGAAAAAAATGTAAAAATTATGGCGTTTGACCTTCTTGCAGTTTTTCTTATCTCACCCTGTATATGGGAGCTATATTTAAATTTTTAACAATTTCGTCCTTGGGCAATAAATGCGACCTGTACTTTGTTTACAAAAATGCAAGGACAGACAGACGGACATGCATAAATCTACTCAGAATGTGATTCTATATAGATCATCAAAAGGAACTATTGGATACCTATCCGTTGGACTATTGTGTCTGGAGTATTTTGGAAAGCAAGGTTGGCCGTATTGGATGAAGAAATAGCGCTGAAATCGTGAAATTGAATATAGATGTCACTGTTGGTGTCTGTGGTAAAACTATGGAGGTGATTTTAGAAATGTGTACTATAATTGTTCGAAAAGTACTGATTGGTACTATTTAAGATATTGGGTAAAAGGGAAAGAGCTGGTATCGTCAAATTTGATTTTATGTTTTCTGTTGGTAACTGGAACTGAAATCTGGAGGTGATCTTGAAAATGTGTACAATTATTGTACGAAAAGTACTAAATTTGGTATTGAAGGTATAGAGCTAAAATCATGATATGGATGTCACTGTTTGTTTCTGTGGTTTAGATATGGAGGTGGTTTTGAGCATGTGTACTATAATTGTTCGCAAAGTACAAATCATAAAGAGTCCTGTCATTGTGGCTGCTAAAGAAGTGCTCCTTATTCGAAATAAAACTGGAAAATCTTGCTAACAACCATTTAAATGACTAGTTTTTCTTGGGAATAAAATTGCCTGCCAAGACAGAGGACAAAAAATATTACAACTGCACGCACGCAAATTCTTGTGAGTAAAAAAAGTACAGTTCCAACAACAACAACAATAATGATCGCATTAATAATCGCAATGTTGTCTACTAAGTTGTCATGAAAAAACACACTTCTCTATTCACTGGGAGACTAGAAGAGATGATGGGTAACCCCAAAGGTCTGTCCAATAATTGTAGCTCTGCTTTGGCTCTATTCACAGCTACCGGTGTAGATATGGCGTTGTTGTTGTACAAAACGAAAAGTAACAACCTGTTCACTGGCCAGAGAAATGAGACGTAACCAAAGCGAAAAAAAAGAAGGAAAATAAAAACAACGTCGAACAAATCACAACCTATAAAACACGTTAGCACGAGTAACGCTTCTTCTAGATCCGACTTAAGAAACTCAAAATCAGTTTCAAAATAAACGCGTACTCGAACACAAGCAAGCAACCAAAGTGGCGGCAGAGCTAAAGGCCACGTTAAATCGAAACTAATTTTTTGACGTGAGAAAAATAAAACAATTGGAAGATTTTTTTTTATCAAATATTTGAAAAATGTTGAAATAATTTGACAAAAAAAAATAGAAACAAAAAACAAAACAAATAAAAATAAAAATATTTAAGTTGTTCTAAACGAATTCATTTGAAATACCAGTATTTCTAGAATATTTGGAAAGAAAAATATAAAAAAAACAAGGAATGATAAAACTAGTGTTTATGTGTAGTTGTTCTTGTGCCAATTAACACCTCTAAATCGGGAAGTCAATAAAATTTCAGTGTTCAGATTCCTTCTCCAGCAAGCAGCAAGTTGGAAAATATCAAAAGAAAATAAATAGAAAAAACGGAAAAAAGAAGCAACGAAAATAATTAGACATCATGAGAGCGTTCATCGGCTGCCATAAAGTGGCGTTAATTGTTCTGGCGTGCATAACAGTGCCGGTATTGTGCCAGCGTAATTTTCGACAAGGTAAAGTCCAAATCCCACCAAAAGTGTTAAAAAAAACGGAAAAAAAGTCCCTACTCTACTCAAGTGGATTATATAAAAATTAATATCGATGTCTGGATTACTTCATTATGCCAACAATAAAAATAAACTCATTTCAATTAATTAATTTTAAACGGTTTTGAAAACCAAACCGGTTGAATCTCAATTAAGTGGCAAACATTTTGTTTTTGTATTGTGATTGTTATTATTAAAAAAAAAAACACACACACAAGTATTTTGAAAATTTCGATTATATATTCCAAAATGTGTGTGTGATTTTTTTCGAATTTGGTATTGAAAACGATTCAAGTCTATGGGACGAGAATGTGTTATCAAACAGAAAAAAGTTAAAAAGAATTTCTAGTTTTTCTAGTTTAGTATATGGCACCCAACGTGGGGCGCCATCGCCTTGTTCTTCTCATCATAATTACTGTGAGTTACATTGGTCGCAGAAATTGTCTACTCCTTGATATCCTAAGGTTTAAAGGAAAACTTAAGTGGATCTTTACAGAATAATGACCCATATTGTCCCCCATTACTTCATGAAATTCTCGTTGATCTAAATCCACTTTGACAATCTTTCCCTTTGTTATCCCAATATCTGAAGGAGAGTTGTTGAGATTTATATATGAACAATTGCGAGTGAGAAAGGATGTTATGTGAGGTCCTTGAAACAGTGCACAGTACATTTCTACACGTGTGATTTCAATAAATTAAAATAAGTAAAGATAAGCCAAAAGTAGGGCGGGGCCGACTTTATGATACCCAACACTCCTAAGCATATTTAGTAGCGCTTCCATAACAAAATAATTTATTTGAAGTAGATCATACCATCTATCAATATTTGGCTTTAGAGCAGTTATAATTTGGTTTCAGAGGGAACTAATATATGGCAGGCATATCCAATTCAGAATCGATTTTTTATAAATTTGACGAAGACATTTTAATCTTCGAGAAGGATTATATTAAAAATATATGATAGATGGCTAAAACTTTGCACACATGCTTATTTTTCCAGTAGGCAGGTTAAGTTCGTAAATGGGCCATGTAGGTCCACGTTTTCATTTAGCCCCCATATAACGGAACCTCCCTATATTCGGTATTGTGATGATTTTAGCGACATTATTCACCGGAATTGTTTCAAAAATGGTATTTGAAGTTCGTTATGGGAACTACAGTCTGTGACAGAAAATTGACTGTGCGGGTCCACGTCTTCGTATAGGCCCCATATATCAGTACCTCCCTATATTCGGTATTTTGACGATTTTAGGTACAATACCCACCGAAGTTGTTGGAGATGTTGCATTTGAAGTTCGTAATAGATGCTACAGCCTGTGACATAAAATTGTCTATGCTGGTCCAGGTCTTCGCACAGCTCCAATTTAACGGCACCTCCTTATATACGATATTTTGATGATTTTAGCTACATTATTCGCCGTTTATTTCAAGTTTCGAATTTGCTTAATGGCTTATGACAAACAATGCCTATGTATGTCCACGTCGTATAGACCCCATTATAACGGCTATATTCGGTATTTTTCAAATTTTAACAGAATTTTTTAAGGATTTTATTTTTTCAAAATTTCCAAATTCACTGCAAATGGTGGAGGGTATTAAAAGTTCGGCCCGGCCGAACTTACTGCTTTTTAACTTTTTTTTATTTCATTGGAAATGTCGGAAATAGCATCAAATTTTAGAATAAGTTTAGATTTGTTAAAATTGGTCACCTTTGGTACGAATTATGGCCTTCAAACGGCCAATGAAACCGTTACACGCAGCCCGAATGTTACTCTGCGGTATTTTGGGCCATTCCCGGCGAAGCACTTTCTTAAGGTGATCGACACTTTGGTACTTTTTAGTGCCAGCCTTGTTTTCTAAAATACTCCAGACACAATAGTCCAACGGATTGGTATCCGGAGATTTTGGTGACCATTGTGCGCTGGAAATGAAGCGAGGAACCTCATTTTGTAAGCATTTTAGGGTTCTGAGTCCTGTTGGAATGTCCAAGGTCTGCGGCCAAAATGTTTGCATGTCCAAGGCTTTAATACACCATCCAGAATATTTTTGCGATAATATTCGACATTTATTCTGATGCCACGGTCGATTAATACGAGCGGAGAGCGACCATCTGTTGTTATGGCGGTTCTGGCCAATCGAAGGTGCACATTTTCAGCTGACCTCTTTGGCAAGTAAACACGATCATTTTGTTCGTTCACAAACTGCTGGACAACGATTGTTTTCTCATCGGAGAAAATCAAATTCGGCAGTTCACCACTTTCGGCCAAGCGAAGCAACTCTTTAGCTCTTTTGGGGCTATTTTCTTTCTGTTGCGGTCTAAATTCTTGTACTTTTTGGAATTTCAATGGCTTTACCCCGAGCTCATTTTTCAATATTTGCCGAATGGATATCGCAATATATGTTCAGCTAACGAGCCATTTTTCGGCCACTGCGACGCGGGTTTCAATCAAGTCGCTTCTTTACATTTCGAACCATTTCTGCTGATGTTGCTGTTTTCTTCCGTCCACTTCCTTGACATCAATCTACGCTGCCAGTATCACGGTAACGAGCTATGGTACGAAACACAAAAGATTTATTCACATTTAAATGCTGGAGTGCTCAAACGATAGCCACTTGTGGTTTTCCAGCCAAATATAAAGTAATCACACCATCACGCTAGAATTCCATCACGAATAACTTTTTTTTTTTCTGGAAAACTCTCACCAAAGTGCTTTTGTTCGCTTGTAAACAATATATTTAGCTGTCGCTGGAATAATTTTAACATCAACATCCTGTATATGGACAATATCGGCGCCTTCTCAAAACTTATATAAGATCTCACATAAGAAATCTTGCGAAGAAAAACACGAACGCTTTAAAATACAGATTATACTTGAAGATGGGCTATATCTGTTCCTCTTAGAAGTATCTTATTTTGTTGGTGCAATGACCCAATTGTCCCAACTAGTACGAATTCGTGAATTCAGGAATCGGTACCAGTTTTTATTACCTAGAATTGAAGTAGCGAATGTGGAGGGCATTCGCTACTTCAATTAAGGCGGCCTCTCACATCATACAACCAGAGAAACAATTCCATTTCTACATTAGTCTTCTACCGGTCGTGTTTTAATGCCCTCAGTCATATGGCCACTGACGTTATATATCTTTCGATACAGCCAAAACGAAAGCATCATTCGCAAACTTTCCAATATTTTTGTCAGTGTTAGATCATGTGCAAAAACGGACAATTTCGGACTACTCCTGGCACCTCTTTTTGAATAACTATCCAAATTTTGAATTAATATCTCTCATAAAATGCTAAATAAGCATACGATTGCCTTCAAATTTCATACATCCCAATATTATTTTTAGCACAAGATCTGGTGTGAAGATGGGATATATCGGTCTACTGCTTCTGGTATCTCCCCAACAACGGCTCAATATTTTGAATAGCCACGATCCTTATAAAACGCGAAATGATCATCCGATTCCTTTCAAAATCTCATCGCAACCCAATATTTCTATCAACACACGATCTTGGGAGAGGGTAGATATCGGCACACCTTTTCGGCTACCTCTCCACAAAGAGTGAACATTTTGAAAAACTATGTCTTTCTTAATACGCGAAAGAAAATCGCAACCAGCGATCTGAGGTTAATATGGAATTTGTCGGCTAACAATTATTTCTGTAGAACTGTAAATAAGTATTCGATCTTTATACCCTACAACACTATGTGTTGGGGGTATTATAAGTTTGATTGGGCCAGAATTTGTGTAACACCTCGAAATATTGGTTTCCCATATAGGAAAGTATATATGGATCTTCCTAGCTCGCCGAGCTGAGTCGATCTAGCTATGTATGTCCGTCCGTCCGTCTGTCCATGTTAATTTTTAATCACTCTACAGGTCGCAATTATGGCCCGATCTTCACGAAATTTAGAATGGAGGTGGGGTTAAGATCAGAATAGAACCCTATTTCTTTTGAAGATGATCGCATAATATTGAAATGGACCAGATACTGAAAAAATGTCGGATTTTGCAGTAGCGGAATTTCGCATGTAGGTAGAGTTTAGGGCGGGGAAGAAGCCTACCAATTTTGACGGTCATCGGATAATATTTAGCGGGTAAAATAGACCATATCTTTTTGTTGAAAAAATTCAAAATATTTCATTAAACCGCGAATATTTTAAATCCCGGCGAAATCGCGAAGCCATGACAAGGTTACTTCTGATCTTTACATTGATGTTAACATACCACAAATCGGATATATAGCAAAATATGTTCGATATATATGTCTATCCAAGAAGATATGCTTGAAAGATGTCATATATAGATGTCATTAATTCAGAATGGCCTCTTAGCAGGAAATAAAAAACGTCTAAAAAATCGCATAAAAATATCTCTCTAAAGATTAAAATATTGATTTTCTAACATTTTCTCATATGTTTTCAATTTTGTCATATTATTGGCATATTTTCATTCTGAATTAAACATTTGGTAATATTTCTACAGCTAACAAAACTAAGTAGTTAGGATATCAGGATATCATATACAGATCGCATTTATGGCCCGATCCTTATGAAATTTTGCATAATAGAAGCCTACTCTTTTTGGAGATGATCGCCATATATTTAGGGGTTGAAATGGACCAAAAACTGCAAAATTGTCAGCAGATCGTAATTATCGCCCGATACTCACGCACATTTGAATGGGGGTTATCGGACATTCCAAAAGCCAAGCAGTTTTGGATGGGCATCCAAATATATTCATTGTGTGAAATAGTTTGCCAACTTTTGTAGACAAAATACGAAAATGTCCATTCCAGTGACTTTTTGGTGAATTCACAAATACAGGAAAGGCGCACTTCTGAATATTTCGTTAAGGCTGATTTCGTTGAAGAATATAGTCAAATGTCTGTATCTCATATTGGTGCGTTTCAGTCAAAAACCAATAATAAATGTTAATCTTTTGCCACTTCTAAGATA